ACAAGAGCGGAGCAGTTCAGACAGAAGGTACTAAAATGACAGTCACTTTTTTTTAAACCTCATTAAATGAATCTACACCAGGAATCAATTCTTTTACTGGACGTGATAAAATGCATCTTGTGTTTCCCTTGGCCGGATAACGTGCTACTATGTGCCAGCTTGTCAAGTCACACCCCAGTGCCCATGGCTTGTTCAATACCCATATTGTCTGCTTTCCTAGAGGGGTTCTTGTTGAACTGTAAAGAAGTTGGTTGTGTCAGCATTTTGCATGGTACACTCCTGCTTTTCAAAGGATCACACGCCTTCAGCCAGTGTCAACCAGTGTTATCACCACAGAGGTTCACAGAACTACAGCAGCATCCATCAAGAGAGGATCGAGGGATGATTTTTATAAAGTCGCAGCACCACTCCTCTGCTACACATGGAGACGTGATTTGAAATTTCCATCCTTCAATCTTTCCATATCGTAGAGTTTTATTTTATTTGTTTACTTTCAGGCTCAAGCAGGGAGACTAAATAATGTTTTGAAAAATGAAATGTCATTTGTGGACTATGGGGATGAGACAGCCTGGAGCAAGGCTGGAGGCAGTGTTTCTCAAACATTTTCAGCTCTTGACCCCCCCATTCTAAACTTGTTCTGCTTACCCTTAGCGCAAAGCCAACCATACATCTGGAAGGGCAAGAGCGCAGTGATGCTATGCACAGCTACTCACATGCAAGCCTAATGCACTGCAAGTGTGCATATGGACCAGGTCAAAAAATTATCAAGGGCTGAAGACAGAAGTAAGATCAAGACAGCCCAAAGAGTGCTCATTATATGCTCTCTGAACTCACCTTCAAACCTGAACTTTTAGGCATGTCAGTGAATCAATCACTGGTTGGAGCCACTCACTCAGTCTCCCAAACATACCCTGCTGGGTCCACTGCTTGCAACCACTGCTACATCATCCTCCAATGGGGAAAGTTAAAGTAGTATTCAAAAGACTATGGATTATGTTAACAGAACACATTATGTTAACTGAATATGTTAACCGACCACTGAGCTGAATCTTCACAAACCACAAATCGTATGCCTGTGCAAAGCCTTAAAATGACTTCTCCAACATCAAACAAGGTGATCTCGGCAGGGCATTTATTGACCCAATCTTGCCTAAATCTACACACATCCTCAAACCAAATCACTTGGATATTCTTCCCAGGTAATGAGTCAACACTGAGAAGCACAGACATGGTACTGACACTACAATGAAAAGTTCCCATATAGACACTGTGGGTTGGTGTAGGCTGGCTACTTCTTTCTTTCCCTTTCCTATTTTTAATTAGCGCTTTCATTATCTCTACATCCTTGCCACGCTCCAGTCCACACAGAGCTCCCAGGATCCCCAGAGTCTTGAAAAGCCTATGACTGTTCCACTTCAGACATGCAAGATTTCAGCTTGCCATCAATCCAACCTCAGAAGGAAACAGCGGAGAGACGACCGCAAGTTAAGAATGCTGCCCTTTAGTGAGAAGAGGTCCTGCTACTTGCGACAGCTAAGACTAGCCATCTTACTTTTGCTCTGTGCTGCCCTTAATTATTTCTTCTTAGTGTCATGTGGCAGCAAGTGATTAAAGCAGAGGGAGTGGGATCCAAGGTATCAGGCTTCTATTCCTGGCTTGGAAAGAAAGCGAGACGGAGCAATTAAGAGAAGCAGGTCTCCTGGGCTCAGTTCACAGCTCAAAGGAAAGAGCAAGTGTTTGGCTAGGAGGAGGGAAAAGTGAATGAATGAGTGATTCTCAGAGATGGGCTTACTTTGCAAAGCAAAAATTGAATATAAACTCTAGTTCTATGCTCTGCATATATTGCCCAAGTTTGTATACAAATGCCAGATTATTTTACAGGCCTTTGCACATGTCTGCTTCGGCTAGCAATGTTAAGCAAGTGCCAGTGGCTGGAGGAAAGGAGCTATTTTTGCAGTCAGAAGGACTAGAAACATGTTTTTTTAATAAAAATAACCTACTTTTTTTTAACTAACTAACAAATCAGGGCTGCACCCTTAGAAGTGGGAATTTCAGCATCCAGCACAACTATTAAAGGTGTGGGATCCTGTTCTCTTTTCCATCTGGCCACCGTAATCATAACATGTTATTGTTATCTTTTATTTATTTAATGAAGCTGAAGCCATTAGCCATTAGAAAACAACACAGAATAAAATACATTACACAATTAAAATAATTATTAAAACTTGGCATTCTGTCAAATGAAAATTTGCTGTGCTGAAGAATTTAACTTGGCATCCCCACAAAACTATAAACTGCCACTCTGAAGAAAAACCAGCCACCTTTTCAGAAATGTAAGGAGACCTGTCCCCACCGCCCTCATAAGAAGTTATCAAGTACCCATAATCATAACATAGATCTTCTCAGCACCAAAAATTCAAGCTTTCAAGGTGCAATTCCCCGCATGTGGATAACACACAGACCTACATATGATCTGGAATGACGCAAAGGGATGCAGGCTAAGGATAATTCTGGATGTTACATAATACAGGTGGAATAGGAAATAGAATGGGCTGGTACTCCCTGTTCTCCCTGTGTGTTCACACAGTTCTAATTTGACATCTTCTCTTGCAGTCAGATGTGACAAGCCACCTCCCAGAGGTTACCATTCAAGCAACGCACACATTCACAAAGTTCGTCTGTTTCCCTTTTAAGCAGAGATTGAATGGCAATCTGTCATGGATGTTTAAGTTGAGATTCCTGCATTGTAGAGGGTTAGACTTGACGACCCTCAACTCTATGATTCCATGAGCAAATTTATGAGATGAACCTGCACTGGTCCATTCTTGCTGCACCTTTTCAAGGTTGCTTATTCTTCTACTGGCACCCTATGCTTCAGGATCATCTCTTGGTCTATCTTGGATTACTCATAGTTTTGGAGCTCAGTCCATAGCAAGCAGAAAACATGGTGGAGAAAATATTGCAATTGTTTTTAAAAGGCAGAATTATGAAGCTTATTCTGACACAAATCAGTCCCTCAACTCCTTCAGTTTCAAAAATGCCATTAAGAAAAGATTGTTTCTGGAGGCAGCAAACAGCAAACATGCTTTATTTTTTAAGGGGGAAAAAATCAATAACAGTTCTTTTGTAGAAATATAATGCATAGCATTGTTATTTTGTTTTCACTACCCACACCAGAAAATGAAATAGCTACATAGAACAATTAAGGGGCTATTGTGACTATCTAGGCATTAGTAACCTATCTTATGGAGCAGCTTCGGGTTCTGAGCCTGATGCTGGTGACCAGGGGCACACTGGACCAGATCCCACAGCAACAAGGTCCATAGAACCAGGGCAGACACCCTCAAAGGCACCCTTCCCATCCCAACACCATAGGGAGTGCACCAAGTGGGAAATCATGGAGCAAAGGAGAAATGTAGGAAGGGGGTGGAGCCTAACAGCTGGGCTGGAGGCAGGTGCTCAGTAGGCCTCAGTTCACCACCAGCCCCTGTAGAGGCAAATTGCTAATTCTCCTTGCTGCCATGCACAGAGTGCTTCTCCTTGGGGCCAGAACAGGGCAGCCACTAAAATGAATGTTAGGCTGGTCAGATGAAAAATGACAGGGCCCCAGCACCTTTAATAATTGTGCAGGGCAGTGAATTTTAACATGAACCATCTGTCACGCAAGGAAGCGTCCCAATGGACCAGCCTTTATTTGTCTATCAGATGACCTGGCATTTTGCCCAATGCTCCCACAAACCTGGGGGGGGGGGAGAGGAGTCCAACTTTGCCTTCCCCAGTAGCATGGGGTTAGCAGCCTCTTCTGCTTTTGCAGAAGAAAGCCAGATCTCCGGTTAAAGGCCAAAGGGTTCAATATTCCCTGGACTTTCCGCCTAATAAGAACTCAGCAGCAGGAGCTGTAATAAAAGACGGCAGTTACCCCATTTTCTTATCCTGGCTTAACGAACCAGTTTTGCAATAGGGGCAATAAATAATAGATTACTCTCAGAGGCTGGTGTAGCAGCAGTGCTGCTGCTGCATAGCACTAGCCGCCTAAGCCTCACTGCCGTGGGGCTCCAAATCTATGCTGCTTAAAGCTGCTACACAGCCACATCATACAAAGCCAGGAAACCAAACAGTTTGGCCCCCCTGTCAAAGGCTAAACCAAAAGCAACTGTGCATGCATCCCAGTTGTGGATTATGTCCCCTCCCTTCAAGAGGTTCACCTGGGGCCTTTGTTATAGTCTTTGCAATGCCAGGTGCAGACCTTTGTACTCTTCCAGGACCTTTAAATTTGAATGTTACGTTTTATCGCATTCTGATATGGCTTTCTCTTCTAAATTCTAAATGGCTTTCTCTTTGCTATTTTCATATTTCATATGTGAGTTTTTGTGATGTCATCCCTATTCTATAATACCACAGCATTTCGGCATTTGTTGAAATAAGCTGAATACTGGTTAATACCACAGTTTCAAAGTGCCATACGATAGAGATACAGCCCCAAAATCAGGTCCCCTCCAGACTATTGTTTCTGAGGAGGGTGTTCTGCAATACGTCATTGACACAACAATAGTGCATTAGAGGTGGAATTACAGAACATCCATACACCATTTCACTTTTGGTTGTTTTGTGATGCTTCACTAATGCTACCCCATTATGGCCATCTAGGTGGGCACTCTTTCAGTATAGTACAACAAAAGCGGGCCCATCCCAAGAGTCACAGGATTTCAGCAGGAAGCTATGGCACATGCACTACTAGAAACAAAGGAGTATGTCCAACCCAAAACTTTTGAAGGTCCAAACAATATTAAAAGCAGGATTGTGTATAACCACCCCAATAGCACCATTATCACAAAGGATCACGAAAGAACAGTTAAAAGGAGGCCTGGAGAGGCTCTAAGTTAAATTTAACCATAAGATAAGCTTCCTTAACATATCTACTGAAATCTTAAAAATTAAAAAGACTTCACAGGAAGCTCAGAAGAGGGGTGTTGTAAAGAAGGGTGCTCTTGTGTACTTACCTTTTCCGCCACACCAAGGATCACTGCTGGAGTGCCCTTTCCCTCTGATTACTTATTGCCAAAGGCTCTCCTCTACGTATGCTGCATGCTGTTTTACCGCACAATAGCCAGACCTGCACTGCGTTCTGTAAAAAAGACAAAAAACCAAACAGCCTGTCATAGCCAGCTCTTATTCATTTATTTCAGTTCTTTAAAAACGTTCCCCCCCCAAAAAAAGTGCACAGACTGCTTTGGGGGCCTCTATGAGTGTGTGCAGGTGTATTTAATTGGGTTGCAGTGATAAAGTGCCATAGTAGGGCAGGCTAGTCTGGAAAAGGGTCGTGAGAACGCTATTTCAGGGTGAAGGAAGGATTGGCAGGATTGCAAGCCAGGAGTCCAGGGCAAGGAATCTAAGCATAGGACCATCCAACTTCTGCTTTAAAACCTCCAGTGAAGGAGAGTCCACAACCTCCTGAGGGAGTCCATTCCACTGTGGAACATTATGTTTTGGATTTTAGACACGTTCAAAACCTTGTTCCCAAGAGATACATTTCAGGTCTAGTCTGTGATGTGGGGCAGAAAACTTTCAGTTGAAAAATCTTCTGTTTCATAAGTCTGTTAGGAACAATGAATGTACGCTAATTGCGAATGCAATATTAGGCAAGCTTAGCAGCTGCAAGATGTTGGGCTTTTTAAAATAAATACGAGTAATATAAACATGCTAAATTGGATCACTGAAGGGGTTGCCAACCCTTTGGGGTCAGTAGACGCATATGGGATTTTGAGAAAAGTGCTCTGGGCACCAGTCACGAACGGTGCATAACAGAAAATAGCTGCCACCTCTAAAAGAGCACCGGGGGGGGGGTAGAGGACTACAAAATGGTATAAGCATGTGTGTCCCCCCAATCAATGGGGGGAAAGGCACCTCCATCAGCACTTGCTCACAGAAAAAAGCTCATTGCACCTCTCCCCTGTTCAGAATGGATTAAAAGGAGGGTGCCCAATTCTGGCATCTAGTGACACAATGGGAAGATTTGAGGGGGGTGTTCGATGTAGAAATGGCTGAGCCAGTACAAACAGGAACAGAGCAGGAAGATTGAATAGTCTCTTGAGTATTGTGGATTTCTGAGGGCATATTTCCTGAGACCTTTCAAGGGTGGCTTAGGAGATACTGGTGGGTGTACTGGCTCCCACTGGAAACCCCTGCTCTAGGGGTTGCTATGATGAAACCTGAAAGTCCACATCACTGCAGAAGGTCTCAGGTCTGTAAGGACTTTTTCACAAGTGGATCAAGAGACAACATAGCCCTAGGCTATAGAATAACAGGTGGCTGCCAAAACTGGTCTCCTGAGGGCACCTCCTGCCTCACCAGTCCCAGGTGCCTTGTAGGACTTGCCAGGTAGTCCGCTGGGCGTGTGAGTGTGGTCAGAAAGGGAAGCAACCCTGACTCACCCCTTTCCATTTTCTCCTAAAAATGTGAAGTGTGTGTGTGTGTGTGTGTGGTATACAGAGAGAGAGAGAGAAAGAGAGAGAGAGAGAGAGAGGGAGAGAGGGAGGGAGAGAACACCAATCATGGTCCTAAATTAAGAGGGAGGATCCCATCTCTTGTGTTAGACTGGAACAACCAGAAAATTTAAGGCGTAAGCCAAAATGTGGCAACTATGTAATATTCTGAAGATTAACATACATTTTACATAATTTGAATATCTGCTGACATGGGTAAACTATGTAATTGCAGACTTTGGAGAATGACAGACTTCAACTACTAATTTGATTAAATCACTATGGCACATACTGCCTCTTAAATTAGGTTATCACTTTGCATTTGAATCAAAAGGAAATATATTCTGAACAAAATTTCAGCAGAATAAAATTAGAATGTTCAGTCCTTAAATTTCCCATTGTTTTGCTGTGTCCCTTTCATTCATGCATTTCACTGCATATTTGTTTCACTATGAACTCATGGATATAATTTCCAAAAAAGGTAGGAGACCTGTAATTGAAGACATAGTTATTGTCATTTCTGTTAAGCATACTAAGGATTATGTGTAGAAGTTATAGAATAGGAGACATTCTCTCCACCTCTGAGCAATTTACAATCTAAATAACTTGCTTATGTTCTCTTCCCAATTCTGAAAAAGTCATACAAAGAAATACAATGGGACTTGATTATTCAGATATTCTGTACTTTCAGATCTGGAAGTTCTGGTTTTCTTATTCTGCCAAGCAATATAAAATGACCAGTAGCAACCCAGTGGGAACTGCATTTAGAATTCAGATTCTATTTTATTTAGAAACAAAAACAAAAAAACCAGTCTGATTCAGACTTGACTCTACATCCCACTCGATGTCACTAAATGACTTATCTCATTTAAGCCCTGCTCAATCATACTCTGAACTCTGAGGGGTAGGATTGTCCCCTGTTGTTGTTTAGTTGTTTAGTCGTGTCCATCTCTTCAAGACCCCATGGACCAGAGCACGCCAGGCACTCCTGTCTTCCACTGCCTCTCACAGTTTGGTCAAACTCATGCTGGTAGCTTCAAGAACACTGTCCAACCATCTCATCCCCTGTTGTCCCCTTCTCCTTGTGCCCTCAATCTTTCCCAACATCAGGGTCTTTTCCAGGGAGTCTTCTCTTCTCATCAGGTGGCCAAAGTATTGGAGCCTCAGCTTCAGATCTGTCCTTCCAGTGAGCACTCAGGGCTGATTTCCTTCAGAATGGATAGGTTTGATCTTCTTGTTGTCCATGGGACTCTCAAGAGTCTCTTCCAGCACCATAATTCAAAAGCATCAATTCTTTGGCGATCAGCCTTCTTTATGGTCCAGCTCTCACTTCCATACATCACTACTGGGAAAACCATAGCTTTAACTCTACAGACCTTTGTCGGCAAGGTGCTAGATGCTGTCTAGGTTTTCTCCCAAGAAGCAGGCGTCTTTTAATTTCGTGACTGCTGTTCCCTAACCTGGTACAATTTCTACACAATGTCTGAAAGAGCCTATATGCTTACCAAGTGTGCTTATGTAGGCTCTGTCTGCACAATAGGGACTCTGCATATTACAAGGGCCCCAGGTTACTCACAGGCATTCAGGTTCTTTCAGACATTACAATGAACATGCATCAATAACGGGACCAGCAGGCAGTACCCCCAACCCCCTTCTCTGTACAAGTTCAGAGAGACAATGTCTAACAGTGTTTCCCTTCCACTGAGAAGCAGTTTATCTGTAGCATTTGTTCTGCAGTGGTTATCTTGCATATGCAAATTAGAGATCCAGGGAGGACTGGGCCACCTCCAGCTGTTGAGGCCTCTAGCCATACTAAAAATAAAAAACAACAATGCACAAAAACAAAATAAGGCACGCATACAGAAAAAGAGTTGCTTGTTTATATAATCAGCTGAGCCGAGAGGACACATTCATCACAGTCTAATCTTGTGTCATCAGAACAGATATAGTTTTATTCATATTTCCACACATTTCTAACTCTTCAATATGACAGAATCAATATCAGTTAACAAAACAAAATTAATTTCCCCCACACCAAATCACTGCTCTTACTAGCAAAAATTTGGAGCTCTAAGCTGATAATGTGTGTCGTTTTTTGATGAAATCTCTTTCCATCGCTCTATTTCAAAGGCTTGAAATAGCAGAGGCTTGACATCTTCAAGCAGAGGCTTGACAACCATATGTCAGGAGTGCTCTGATGGTGTTCCTGCTTGGCAGGGGGTTGGACTCGATGGCCCTTGTGGTCTCTTCCAACTCTATGATTCTATGATTCTATGAAATAGTTACCTCATCAGTCTTACCCAGTAGCAGCACCGGATTTAGGGTGGTGCAGGTGGCTCTCCTGCACAGGATGCTAAGCCAAGATATATAACAACAACAACATATATTTATACAGGTACCTACTGAGAAGATCCATTTAAAAAGCAACTATACCAAAAGGTATTATTGTGAAAATAAGAAATATTTAGGGGCATGTGCCCAATTTTGTCCTCAGTCAGGGCACCATATTACCAAAGTCTGCCCCTGCTCCTGCAACACACAGCCCAAATTGTTCCAGGCAGTGGGATGCCTGGAGCATCATTTGCAATTGTCTCTGGGGAAGTTTCCATTCTTTATCGAAAGCATGCAGTGTGGGTGGGTTTGCTCTACTTCAGCTGGGAGAATAATTGCTACAGCCTTACCGAGGGGTAGAAGGAGGTGGTGAGAAGTTATTAGAAATTAGGAGAGTTGTGCCCATTACTTTCCAGAACAAATTGTAGGCAGCAAGGGAAATAAAAACCACAGCAAGCGAGTGAGACAGGCATCATGTTCCAACATCTCACGCACGCCTGATTGATTTGAGGCCGTACATTTGGTAAGAGCTCAGATGAAGTACCTATTTCCAAGCCAGGCTGAAAAGATCACTGCAGCAGAACAAACAGTTTCCTCAAATGAACTCCCTGAATGTTCTCATTTGCCCTCAATGGGTGGACATTCCTCAGGTCTGGTGAAGCTTGGCAAGACCCACCCTACTCTGTATTGGAGGCGAAGTATGACATGCTGCTAAAACTCTACATTCCTATAAATTCTTTTATGTGAGTCTCTGTAGTTTGGTGTCTTACCAGCCCACTCTGCACTTACCTGAACTCTTTCCTTCATGCTGCACCATTAGCGATTTGAAGTGAGCTACATTTGACCTTTATAGGTAAAGGTAAAGGTAAAGGGACCCCTGACCATTAGGTCCAGTTGTGACTGACTCTGGGGTTGCGACGCTCATCTCGCTTTATTGGCCGAGGGAGCCGGCGTACAGCTTCCGGGTCATGTGGCCAGCATGACTAAGCCGCTTCTGGCGAACCAGTGCAGCGCACGGAAACGCTGTTTACCTTCCTGCCAGAGTGGTACCTATTTATCTACTTGCACTTTGACGTGCTTTCGAACTGCTAGGTTGGCAGGAGCAGGGACCGAGCAATGGGAGCTCACCCCATCGCGGGGATTTGAACCGCCGACCTTCTGATTGGCAAGTCCTAGGCTCTGTGGTTTAACCCACAGTGCCATCCACGTCTCTTGACCTTTATACTAGGGGCCCAATCCAAAGACAGCAACAGAGCAACACAATGCACATTTAGTCAGAAGTATGTCCCACTGAATTCAAACAAAATGTGCA